AAACAAAACAAAAAATAAAACCCCAGCTACATTTCGTCTTATTTATTTCTTTCGATTCGGCCGACTAAGTTACTTTCTTTTTTGACAACTTTCCATCTTTTATTCCGTTTATTTTCGAGCTTTTTCATTATTTATACCAACGTAATTGCTTTCTACATTTTTTTTTATTTCTTCCTTTAATCAGATATTCTTTCTTTCTTTCTTTTTTTATTTCTCAAACCAGATATTCTTTCCTTCCTTCTTCTTTTTCTGAGCCAGATATTATTTCTTTCCTGAGCCAGATAGTCGATCTTTCTTTCTTTCTTTCTTTCTTTCTTTCTTTCTTTCTCAAACCAGATATTCTTTCTTTCCTTCTATCTTTCTTTCCTCCCATCTTTCTTTACTGAGCCAGATAGTCTTTCTTTCTTTCTCAAACTAGATATTCTTTCTTTCCCTCCTTCTCCTTTTTCTGAGCCAGATATTCTTTCTTTCTTTCCTTAGCCAGATATTCTTTCTTTCCTTCCTTCTTCTTTTTCTGAGCCAGATATACTTTCTTTCCTGAGCCAGATATTCGTTCGTTCTTTCTTTCTTTCTTTCTTTCTTTCTTTCTTTTTTATATTTTCTTTCTCAAATTTTTATACTTTCCTTCCTTCTTATTTTTCTGAGCCAGATATTCTTTCTTTCTTTCTTTCTTTCTTTCTTTCTTTCTCAAACCAGATATTCTTTCTTTCCTTCCTTCTTTTTTTTCTGAGCCAGATATTCTTTTTTTCTTTCCTGAGCCAGATATTCTTTCTTTCTTTCTTTCTTTCTTTCTTTCTTTCTTTCTTTCTTTCTTTCTTTCTCAAACCAGATATTCTTTCCTTCCTTCTTCTTTTTCTGAGCCAGATATTCTTTCTTTCTTTCTTTCTTTCTTTCTTTCTTTCTTTCTTTCTTTCTTTCTTTTTATTCGATTTTCTTGTTTTCCTATCCGTATTTTTCTTTTATTTTTTTTTTCTTTCTTTTTTCTTTCTTTTTCTTTCTTTTTTTTTTCGTTTTTCTTGTTTTTCCTATACGTATTTTTCTTTTTCTTTCTTTCTTTCTTTCTTTCTTTCTTTCTTTCTTTTAAATACGCGCTGAATTTCTTTCTACTTGTTATTTTTATTTCTTTTTAATTTCTAAATTCTTTTATTTAATCATTTAATTTCAGAGTCAATTTTCTTATATTTAAATATTTCTGATTTCTTGTAATTTCTATTTCTTCGCTTCTTTTTCTTTTTTCTTTCGACCCCACCCGCAACTGCACTATATCCCCCTCACTCTTCCCCATCACCACACCATAATATCCCCCACCCATCGCGTCACCGACCTATCCCCCCTCCCGCCACCTTTTTGCATTCCTGCTTTTCTTTCTCTTTCATATCTCAATGACATCACCAAAAGTCAATTGAGTGGACGGCGTTTTAATAGAGATTTAAGAGTCTCATTCTCTTTTGCACTTGGTTCGTTCTGAATGTCCTGGCGTCAAGCAATTCACCCGACCTAACCATCTTCATGGACGCAGTTCCTCTCTTTAGCTCATCTTCAATTCCCGCCCCCATCCACCTACAACGCATCATCTTTCTATTCAGCGCAATTGTTGATTCTCTTTTGTTAAATTCCATTTCCAAGGGGGAAAAATGTGCTGAACATCGTCCAAGGCAAGGACATTTTCGTCTGATCAATTTTTTTCATTCACCCAAATTCAGTCAAACTTCAAGTGTTTCTAGCAACCTATAGAGCACTGTAGGAGCGATTTTTTAAAAAATTTCTTCTCTTGAGGCTGTTTTGGCAACCTATCGATCTTATTCTTCTTCTTCTTCTTCTTCCGCACCATATGAGCGATCATGACTCTCCATAGCTTCCTATCTCTTGTGGCTCTTAACCGTTACAAAATTTAGCTACCGTATTTCGCAACCAATACATCATCATCTTCTTTTTTCTTCATCCGCACCATATGAGCGATCATGACTCTCCATAGCTTCCTATCTCTTGTGGCTCTTTCTTTTCCGTTACAAATAGATAGACTCGTATTTTCAACCAATACATCATCATCTTCTTTTTTCTTCATCCGCACCATATGAGCGATCATGACTCTCCATAGCTTCCTATCTCTTGGGGCTCTTAGCCTTTACAAAATTTAGTTAACGTATTTCGCAACCTATCCATCATCTTCTTCTTCTTCTTCTTCTTCTCGCGCACCATATGAGCGATCATGACTCTCCATAGCTTTCTATCTCTTGGGGCTCTTAGCCTTTACAAAATTTAGTTAACGTATTTCGCAACCTATTCATCTTCTTCTTCTTCTTCTTCTTCTTCTTCTTCTTCTTCTTCTTCTCACCACCCACCATATAAGCGATTATGACACTCCATAGCTTCATATCACTTGTGGCTCTTAGCCTTCCATTCTTTGCTATCAGTTCTGCCATCTATTGATACAAACTGCCTGCTCTCTTCCCATCTCTCTTGGTCTGGACATGTCCGTTGAGGACCAAATTCTCCAAGACTTCCTTCCTCATTATTTGTCCAATTAACTTCAACTCTTCCTTTCTGATTCTTTCTTTAAGTGTTTTTTTTTCTATTACCATTTTCTTTAAAACTTGCCCAAACTCTCCACCCAGGGAATTCTCAGTATCCTTCTGCATAACCACATTTGTACTGACTCTGGTCTTCTCTTCATCTATCGTGAGATTGTCCAGCCTCCACTGCCATATAAGAGGATAGAGAGGGCACTTCCATGTGGTGTAATGGTTAGCAAGCTTGTCAAGCGAGAACAATTACGACTGCATGAGTTCGATCCTCACTGGGTGCCCCGTATATTTGGCCTTTAGTCACATCTAAGCAACGCTTTGAATAAAAAGGACGTCTCCAGGTGTAATGGTTAGCAAACTTGTCCCGCTAGAACAATTACAACTGAGTAGAGAGTTCGATCCTCACTGGGTGCCCCGTACATTCGGCCTTTAGCCACATCTAAGCAACGCTTCGAATAAAGATGACGTCTCCAGGTATAATGGTTAGCAAGCTTGTCTTGCTAGGACAATTACGACTTAGTGGTGAGTTCGATCTTCAGTGGGTGCTCCCTACTTTCGGCCTTGTGCCACATCGAAGCTACGCTTGGAAAATCACTATAATAAGATAGATATCATATTGATATAAAATAACATTTCCCCGCACTTTTCTTTTTGTTTCTAACGAAATTTTCCCATTTCTTAATGCTTTGCTTAGCTTCTGGAAGTCATCTTTCACTAATTTGATGCGCTTTCGGATTTCCATGTCACATTTTCCATCCTCTATTAAAACACCTCCCCAGAGTTTTAAACTTATGTAGTTTGATATTGATATCTCTAATTGGTTGTTCGCACGCCGGGATTATTTCTCATCTGGTTTAAAAATAATATAAGAACATGTTACATTACCTATTTCTTTTCTTCACCTCCAACTATGGGTTAAATAGTAGGGCAGACTACGCCTTTTAGATTTGGTTAGCAACCAGACTAGGAGAAGAGCAACTATGAATTCAAATCCCGTGAAGGGGCCTGTGGAAAGTTCCTAGCAAACTATGCACCTGTTCTCAGTGCTTTCGAAAAAGTGTGGCTGGTGATTTATACGTATAAAGGATCAACAGTTTAGTTTAGAAAAGAACCTTCGGTAATGTTTGGTTGGTCACTTTCAAGAACGTAACAATCGGAGGTTAGTCAATCGGATTTTCTGCTGTTAACTGTTCTTTTTTTCTTCATAATTTCATACCAAGCAAGGGAAGAAAGATATTAAGACGCAAGGGGTTAGTTTTAGAGAATATGAACAAAGACACTAGTAAGGTTAGAGAATAATAAATGAAGAGGAGTTAAGAAGAAAACGATTGACATTTGAATTTTTGAAGATTGAAGGCAATAAAGCCTCTAAGACATAAGGGATTATTGACTAGTTAGAGAATATGAGAAAAAATACAATTAAGGAGAGAGATCAATAAAAGAATAATAATTAAAAAGACAGAAGATAACGATTGACATTGCATTTAAATTTTTGAAGAACAAAGGCAATAAAGCCTCTAAGACATAAGGAGTTATTGAGTGTTAGGGAATATGAGAAAAATACAATTAAGAGAGAGATCAATAAATTAAAAGAAGAAAGACAGAAGATAACGATTGACATTGCATTTAAATTTTTGAAGATCAAAACAAAAAGGCATAGGAGTTAAGTGTTAGAGAAAAGCCTCTAAAGGATAAAATAAAGAATAATTAAAATTGAAGTGATTGGGAAGAATAAAAGGCAATAAAGCCTCTAAGAATAAGGAGTTACAATAAATATGAGAAAATACAATAAACGAGAGAGAGAGAGAGAGAGAGAACAATAAAAGAAGAATTGAGGAGACAGAAGATAACGATTGACATTGCATTTAAATTTTTGGAGATCAAAGGCAATAAAGCCTCTAAGACATAAGGAGTTACTGAGTGTTAGAGAATATGAGAAAAATACAATTAAGGAGAGATATCAATAATAGAAGAAGAATTAAAAAGACAGAAGATAACGATTGACATTGCATTTAAATTTTTGAAGATCAAAGGCAATAAAGCCTCTAAGACATAAGGAGTTATTGAGTGTTAGAGAATATGAGAAAAATACAATTAAGGAGAGAGCAATAAAAGAAGAAGAATTGAGGAGACAGAAGATAAAGTTTGACACTGCATTTAAATTTTGGAAGATCAAAGCTGACAGGGATGCAAGAAGCTAGAAAAGAATTCCACAGGCGAGAAGTACGATAGAAGAAACTGCTAACATAGAACTTACGGTTCCATCTAGTTATTTCACCTGTAAAATGACGAGACCTTTCTGCCAATCTAGTACTGCGCTTAAATTCATAAAGTCGATGGACCAGAGGGGGAAGTTCATCGAAAACACTTACCGTTAAAGAAAAGACACAGCGAAGCTACATTATAGAGGTGAGAAAGTGACTAAAGACGAGATGTCAGATCAGGACCAATAACATTGCAGATTCTTCTTTGGATTTTATCAACAATCTCTAAATATATAGCAGGAGCACCATAGCAGACCTGGTAGCAATATTCAAAGCAAGGACAAATGGTAGACATAGATATATTCTGACATGAGCATCACTTCATATGTTGCAATGGTGGAATAGATTTTAGCACTACGTGACTAAAATGACCTTACGCTTCTAAGATATTTTAACAAGTGTGTGACAAGATTAAAATACATTTTACTAGTGGTGGATTTTCGCCGTTTGATACTTTTTTACAATGATGTACAAGACCCAAGAGCCACTTTAGGTAGAGGCCTACAAGATAAGAGATACAGTTTATAAGCATATGCGGGGTAGATAACGGTTGATACTAGACTTGAACAGGCCAAGAATGTAGCGATCGGGGAAGCGTCCACTTAGGAATCGCTTCCAGAAAGCCGCGATTGGTAAGAAGAAGCTGTTCGAGTGGAACTTACATCTCACTAATGGAACGCGAAGGAAATGAGGGTGGTTCACTACAATGAGGGTCTTAGGGCGGATCTTGGCCGTGAAGGTTAGAATTGGTAAAACTAAGGGATGTAGTTCGTCTGAGCACTTTCCATGGTAATAGCGCTAGAACAGAGGAGAAGCTTGCGACATTTCATCTCTGAGAAAGGGGGTTGTAGCGGTAGAAAATAATTTGTCATTCACAAGATCGAGGAGACGCTTTTGGAGTCTATCGAGACTTGAAAGTAAAGTCTGGGCAGTTCTTATCTATATATGGCAAAAGGACTCCATTTTGGTCTGATCTGGCTCTTGTAAAAGTAGAGGATAGCAGGAGAAGTCAACTGCTTACTGGAGCGGTATATTGAACCAACCAATTTAAATGATTTCTTTAGATTTTCGAAGGCAACTTTCACTATTATAGGCCTAATCATGTGAAGGGAGAAAATAGCCCAAGGAGTCAGGTACTTATTATAGCCTTACAGAGAAGCGATTATTTTTAATGATTTCTTTAGCTTTTCGAAGGCATCTTTCACTATTTTAGGCCTGATCTTGTAAAGGTAAAAATAGCCCGAGTCATCTTAAAAGATTAGCCGTACAGGGAGGCGACCATTTTTTAATGCATTCTTTAGATTTT